CTTCTGAAGGCTATAGAGCCCCCATTAATATTTTAAAGCCAGTGTTGTCCCAGGTCTCTCTGGCTGTGACGGGGAGGCTGCATGCACAGGGAGTTCCACTGCCCGAGGGGTGAGCTTGTGCTGCCACTCTTGCAGATGGGAGAACAGGCAGGTGGGATCGCACTGCTCCCCTCCCTCAGCCTCCGCACTGCAGTGAGGAGCAGGATGTGAGGTGGTAGGCCAGCGGAAGGTCTTAAGCCTGAGGCTTTCTTTACATAGAGCCAAAGACTTTAAGAAGTAGTTCTGGGCCTGTAAGATGGCGCTGGCAGTCACCAGCAGGAACCATGATCGCAGCAGGTCAGAAGCTGGACTCCTCTTTCTCTTACTGTGGAGTGTAGGTAGAGAGAGCTTGGTGCTGAGGGGAAGCCGCCTTGGGCTTGAGGTGGGGCTCCTCCACTTACAGGCTGTCCCTGGCTAGCCTTCACCAGGACAGATGGCTCCTCCCAGACACGTCACTGACAGTATGGCTTTCTACTCAAAGGAGCCTGAGAGACAAAGCAGAAGAAATGGCAGTGCCTGCATCACTCCTTAGCCAGTGACAATCAAGGTGGTTCTTACTGGTTTTGGATAGTTTCAAAACTATCAAAGGAAGTGAGCTGGGGACAGATCTGATCTGTCACTGGCCTTCTTGGGAGTTTTGTTTTAAAATTTGAATTAAAAGTTATTTCTATAATTGGGGGGTGGGGTGCAGTATGCACATGCATGCAGAGAGTCTGAGGTCCAGAAGATGGGCTCAGGTCCCCTGGAATTGGAGTTGTGAGCCAACTGATGTAGGTACTGGCAACCAAGCCTCAGTCCTCTGCAAGAGCAGCGTACGTTCTTAACAGCAGAGCCACTTTCCCAGCCACCCACTTTGGAAGTAATTTGTAATTGGTTGACAACTTCACACATGTTTATAGTATTTTTTGATTACATTTTCCCACCCCTTTATCACCCTCCCACTCCTTCTGGAACCCTTAACACTTCCCCCTCCTTTCATGCCGTTTTATTTTTTAAAAAACTTTTTTCATGTGTGTGTACAGACATGAGCACATATATGTGCATGTGCTTGGATAGTCATGAAGGGCAGCAGGTACCTTTCTTGAATCTATCCTCTCTTTTCCTATGTGGATCCCAGAGATGGGGTCAGATTGGGGTTTGGCAGCAGTCACCTGCTGAGCCATCTTACTGGCCCTTAATTTTTATTTTATTATTTGTGTGTGCACATGTGTGCATGAATATGCAATAGAGTGGAGGAACATATGAGCTATAGAGGTTGGAGGTCATGGGGGAACTATTAAGGAGTTGATTTCCATCTTATTCCACGGGTTCTGGGGATTGAACTGAGGCTACCGGTTACCTCCTGAACCTTCTCGCCAGTCCCCAGCTAAGTTTCGGGCTCGCCTGGTGTGCGTGCTGTGGGGTTGTTTCCAGGGTTACAGGCAGCTCACCAGCAGCTGCTGTTGCCTGGTGAGAAGTGGCTCCTGTTCCCCTCCCCAAGTAGTTGTCACCTACTCTTTGGTCTTCGTGGTCACTGGGTGACTGGGTGGGAGGTGGCCGTCTGGGCAAGGACAGCAGCACTTCCCATGTGCATTGGCAGAAAGAAGGGAGCCCTGCCAAACTGCAGGCTGCACTGTGGCCCGTGTCCTTGAGGAAGGAGAAGAGTGCCTGTGCCCTCCCTGGGGAGCTCCAGCAGCTCTGGAGCTATAGCCATGTTCCTTAGTCCCTCCCAGCTGGGCCGGGGCTAGATTCCAGAAGAATCCTTCAATTTATGCCAGGTGGAAGTAACACACAACATTAATCCCAACACAGGCAGAGGCAGGCAGATCTCTAAGTTCAGAGGTCAGCCTGATCTACAGACCAGCCTGATCTCCTGTTCCAGGACAGCCAGGGCTACACAGAGAAACCCTTGTCTTAAAAACAAGCAAAATACTTCAACTAATGAAGCTCTGGCCCACTCTGGTGTTCACTGAACAGCATCCTCTGCCCTAACAAGGCTTCCCTCCAGATGAGGAGCACAGGGCCAGAGGAGGATGCATAGGCCAGGAGCAGGCATGCGGAGTTACAGTGGTGTGGCTGAGGCCCTGGCTCCCAGTCACAGTGTTTTCCTTCTTGCCTGCTCATTCTTTGACCATATTTGCTGCTCCAGTGTGGCATAGTCAGAAATAGCCAGCCAAGCCTCCGAAAACTTGCACTCCCATGAGACCCCAGCTCCCTGTGGTCCAGGGAGCAGCAAGCTGTCAGCTTCCTAGACTCTTGGGAAGTCTTTGGAAGAGTAAAGAGAGAAGCTTGGGATTCCAGGCTGTGACCTTCTCCCGGCTGCTTTTCCCGTGATGCTGGGAGGCTTCGTTTGTGGCTGCTCGTCCTCTGCTCATCAGTTCCATGCGGCAGGAAGCACTGTCTTCACGAGAGCCTGGGTGTGCCGGTAGGCCCAGGTTCGGTTCCCCTCATCTGTTCCAGGATTACTAGAGTCTGCCTTTCTACCAGTCACAGTGGCTACCTTAGATGCAGGCTAGCTCATATAATCCTGACAGGATTCTGATAATTATTGTAAGGGCATCCAGGTGCTGAGTGTGAGCCATTTGCTGCCTGTCTTGTCCTGCTAGCTATCCCAGTAACCCTAAGGCTAAATGTTATTGTTCCTGCCTTAACAGATGAACAAACTGAAGCTCAGACCAAGAGGGTGGGTGATTTGCTTACTATCGCATGTGTAACAGGCAGCAGGATTGAGGTTTGAACCCTGGCCGTACAGCTGTGCTGGGCCTGTACTGTCGAGCGCTCTCCTTTCCTCTCTCAACTCCAATACATGCTTGCAGGGCAGAGTGTGTCAGGGATGACCAGAAAAAACTAGTTAACAGGACAGTAACTCTGGGGTCCATTCCCCCACCCCACTCCCCAGAGCAGGAAAGCCCAGCCAGGGGCCCAAGAGGCTTCATCCTGTCCGCCGCAGTGCTAAGTAATGTCATGGAATTAGCAATGATGCTATCATGATTTAGGGAATGGCCTGGAGCTCTTCACATTCTCCAAGACCCGTTTGTCATCCCTCGGAGTGCTGGATAGCATGATGCTGTTCTGTAGTGGACCCTTCTGGTGTGAAGGTGTGAGGGTGTGAGGCACACTGGCTTAATTACAGAGCTGCTTGTAGCCTACCTCCCTTCAGAAATCAGAAAATGTCTATGTAGCCTGGAGGTATGACATCATAGCTTGTGGTGCTGGGGGTGCCCATGTGTTACTTTCTGCTCTTACTCCCCGTAATTAGCCCACTAAGACCTGCAGGGCCTTAGCCCCTCCTCACTGTGCTGTCTGCTTCCTCAATTTCTTCATGGCTCCCTGTAGGACTCCTTAGTCTCTGCCCTTTGCAACCAACCACTGTCTGGGTGAATATACTACTTGCTGGCCTGACCTTAGTAACAGCCTGAGAGTCCCATGGGCCTTACTATTGGCTTCTTTGTTAAAACTCCCTGGGACCCTTAGAGTCAGTAAGGACAAGTTGACAGTCTTGTGTCTTCACCTTGATTTACTTACTCTCAGTCCCTGTCGCCAGCCTCCCCAAGGTTCAGTGTGCTGAGCCCTCTCTTGCCTGTTCATGAGGCTGTCCCACAGGAAGGGAGAGAATTAGTGGTTGCCCTGGATGACAGGCTGTAGTACCCTCCAGCTCTGGCTGGCTCGGCCACAGACTAGTGAGAGCAGGCCCTGTCATGGAAGCAGGAGACGGAGGGCTGTGCTCGTGGGTGGAGCCCAAGGCCTGGGACACTCTGACTCACCTAGTATGTCTCAAATGTAGCATCTGTCCTCAGTAGCACCCCTCCCAACCTCTAAGTAGGATGTCTCTGACAGCAGAGTGGAGGCTGGATCTGCCCAGAGCACTGCTTGTACCTGATGCCTGGTGCAAGTCAAAACTGGCTCACTTACTATTGATGGATGAGCAAAGGGTGAGAACCTGAGAATTCAATGTTAAAAAAACAGCAGCAGCAACAAACAAACAACGTGATTCTCAGAGATGTAGAGATGAGAGTGTTGGGCGATCTGCCAGTTGTTACCCCGTGCTTGCTGGCTATATGTACTTGTTCTGTTGCTCGTATGAACACACACACACACGTGCACACACACAGACACACACAGTGTGTCTCTGGACTTCAGAACTCTCAGAAGGCCCCTGGTAGAACTCTAGTTGATAATCACCTTGCTGACTTGGGATCTCTGGAATTTCTGTGGGTCTCCTAAGTGTGATTGCACCCCCATCACCTCTAATCCTGAGCCAGAGGGGAGAGGAAGAGGAGATTGGAATGTCTGCCACCCACAGTCCCATTCTTAAGCTGAATCAGTAATTGAATGCTATTAAGCAAAATTAATTTGCCTCCTGCAGGAAGGCTATGATGAATGAAAGGGTTGCTAATGGGGAGGGAGCCGGGCTACCCTCTCTGGTCATCAATATTTCATAGCCATAGGCAGTATCAGGAAGCTGCATGTCCTGGTTTAGCTGACCTCGAGTGTTCTTTGAAGGTAGGCTAAATTCAAAGGGGTATGGAGTGCATAAGGGAAACGGATGCACCTGAGGTTTGACTGAGTTTGCCCTGTGGGAGGGCCTCAGGTGGACTTCAGGCCAGCCTGCTGCTGATTCTGGTTAGGGGGCAGCTTCCCTCTCAGCTGCAGTGTAGAGCTGGAAGGTTAGCCCTGGCCCTTGTCTATACTGAGACCCCAACCATAGCATCAGTTTCTGCTCATGGCTGCGCATCTCCGAGGGAGGGGTTGCTCCAAACACTTGAGAGACAGATCGCACTGTGCCCCTGGCCAGGTATTCACCTGCTCCATTCTTCCGCTTGTGGCATGGTGGGGGGGATATAGACGGGATAGACATTAAAACTGAGGAAGCGTTAGGCATGATGTCTCCGAAAGGATGGCTGGGAGTTAGGGGCAGGACAGAGGGACAGCGAGTGAATGAAGAAAAGATGTTAACGTGCTTTTCATTTTCATCTTTTTAGCTGCTATTAACTTAGCAAAGCTGAAGCTTTTCAGACATTACTACGTCTTGGTGAGTAAAAAACCAACAAACCAAAGCCCTAAAACTGTAAATAAGATCAGTGAGCCAACCTGGTGACAGCAGCAGCCACTGTGCTTGGACCTGTCAGCTGCCTCACAACCTCATGTCACTTCTCTAAAAGTGGGAATGAAAACTCTGGGTTCCTTTGAGCCTGTTAGAAGTGGTTTTAACTGCTTAGAAAAGTAGCAGGTGCACTCCACAATCAGGAGCGGAATGGCTCAGACCCCTTTATGGAGGCCGGTGCAGTGTTTGATTCTCAAGGGCACCTCTAGGCCTAGGCCAGACCCAGCCATTCCTCAGCTTGCCTTTTCTGCCCACTTAGGAATGTGGGTGCACCCTTGTGCTCTCTGCAGGCCTCCACAGAACGGTACTGATTCTTCACCACTCTCTCCAGTTGCCAGGCAGGAAACTTAGTTTTGTTTTAGGGATATGTCCCTTAAAAACAGGAACTTGAGGATGGTTCTGTTTTGGGATTTTTGGTTTTGATTTTTTGTTTAAGAGAGGGTCTTATTGTGTAGCCCCAGCTAACCTCGGCCCTTTGCTCCTGCCTCTCAAGTGCCGGGATTAAAGGTGTGCACCACTGCATCCAGCAAGTCAGTGATGGACACAAAGCCCTGTGCTGTGAGCACAGAGTGTAATCTCCCAGTGTTTCCTTGACTCCCACAAGGAAGCTTGACAACTCTGCCCAAGCAAACAGACGTTCAGATGTTGGAAGCAGCAGCCGAAAAGCAGGGCAGACCTCCATCGAGCTGGTGTTCTTGTGTCTGCTTGCGCTCTTTCTCAGGTTGTCCGTTCTGTTGACGTGGGCTTTGTAGCATCATCACAAAGTGTCACAGAGCATTTCCTGATGCCTATGATGATACAGAGGAGCCCCCGCCTGGTCCAGGGTTCTGTGTGGTCTCCTGGCCAGCTCACTGAGGCCTTGTCACAGCGTGGCCAGAGGAAGGTGTTCATAGATTAGAGTGTGTGGTTCGGTATGTCCTGGATTGTGGGACTTAGCTGCTCACTGTACCTGTGTGTCCCCCATGTGACCATTTTGCTGTAGCTGCTAGGAACTGCCCCAAGCCTGGGGTGGGTGGGGAAGAGTACCCTTAGAGACTGAAACAGAGGCCCTGAGCGTGGGTGGCGAGAAACAGAACAGCCGTACGAAAGGAGCTAGCTGCCGGGCAGTGGTGCGCACGCCTTTAATCCCAGCACTTGGGAGGCAGAGGCAGGCAGAATTCTGAGTTCGAGGCCAGCCTGGTCTACTGAGTGAGTTCCAGGACAGCCCGGGCTACACAGAGAAACCCTGTCTCGAAAAAACAAAAAAAAAACAAAAAAAAGAAAGAAAGAGAGAGAAAGAGAGAGAGAAAGAAAGAAAGAAAGAAAGAAAGGAAGGAAGGAAGGAAGGAAGGAAGGAAGAAAGGAGCGAGCCGCCTAAGGGTGGGTGGTCAGTGTTTTAACCATCTTGAGTGAGACTTGCATAACAGAGCACCTGCTTTCCCGTTGACTTGGTAACCAGGGCTGTGGACCACATCTATTATCGGGTGACTGTTTCCTGCTTTGCAGTTAATCAGTGACGAAACGTGGTGCACTGATCTCTGATTTCCTTTCTTCTGCAGATCGTGTGCTACATCTACTTCACCAGGATCATTGCCTTTCTCCTCAAGTTTGCTGTTCCATTCCAGTGGAAGTGGCTCTACCAGGTCTGCTGCTCTTGGGGGACAGTTTGGAGAATTTATATCTGAGGAGCACGTTTGGGGTGTAGCTTAAGATTGTGTCTGACCTGCCTGGGAATGCCTGCTACACCCTTCTGTCTCTTCTGCTCTCCAGAGACGATGCTCGCTCTGTGTGCCCAGAGGAGCTGTTGGGCTACGTGATAAATCTGGACGTAATTGCATTATTGATTAATTCTAAGTCTTTGAAGAGAAAAGCTTCAAGCAGAGAGAGTGAGATTTGTCCTGTGTGATTAGAATTTATCCACCTTTGCCTTCAGCCAAAGAGCATGAGTGGTTTTCATTCCAGTCCTTCTTGCTTCAAGGATTTGCTTTTATTTTTATTTTTGTAGTTTTGGACCCAAAATTATAAAATATATATATTTGATCATTATTTTTATTATAACTATAAACTATCTTTGTACGATACTAGAGCTGGTCACCAAGGCTGCATATACATTCGAACCTTTGTTCTTGGGCTAGAGAGATGAGTCAAAGGTCAAGGGCACTTGCTGTTCTTCCAAAGGACTAGAGTTTAGTTTCCAGCCAGCTGCAGAGGAGCCAGCGCCCTCTTCTGCCCTGTGCAACCACTGGCATCTGAGTGGTCAAAACATATAGACAAACACACTTACACAAAAATAAAAAATAAAGTGAAAGTCTTGTTTTTAATAGGCAGGATTAATTTACTAAACCCCCTACCCTGAGCCTCTTGTTCTTGAGCTGAAGAGATGGCTCAACTGGTAAAGATACCTGCTGCCAACACTGGTGACCTGAGGTGGATCCTCAGGACCCACATGGTGGAAGAAATTGCACTGCGATAAGTTGTCCTCTGACCGCCACACTCAACTGCACAGTGCACACAACACAGACACACACACACACACACATACACACACACTAACAAAAAAGGAAGAACAGCAGGACAGAGAAGGTATAAAATGAACCAGTGTGATGGCACACACTAATCCAGCATTTGGGAAGCTGATACAGAAGGTGCTAAGTTCAAGGCCAGCCTAGGTTTCACAGCAAGACACCCTCAACATTTAAAAAAAAAAATGGGTTCCCATGGAGACAGCTCAGTGTCTACTCTGGCCACTCTTGGTGTAGACCCTGCAGACCTGAGGAAGCACTCAGGAGCACTGGGCTGCAGCATTGCTAGAAACCATGTGGAGACTAAGAGAGGCATGAGCTTGTTTAGTTCCATTGCTTTCTGAAGAGTGGTGTTGCTAATCCTTTTATTTTTCATTTGCAGCTGCTGGATGAAACAGCCACGCTGGTGTTCTTTGTCCTGACGGGGTATAAATTTCGCCCAGCTTCAGATAACCCCTACCTGCAGCTCTCTCAAGAAGAAGATGACCTGGAGATGGAGTCTGTGTAAGCTGCCCCTCCCTTCTTTCCTCCCTTCTTCTGCTGAACTGAAAGGCATGGTCTGCAGGGCCCCTTGCTCTCAGCATCCTGCAGCCTGGAGGTGGTCCCTCTATTTTTAGTAGGATTCGGACACTGGAGCCCTGGTGTGTGTAGCTTAGTTTGAAGTGCATTGTCTGCCAGCCATTGCTCAGTCTTGCAGGGGAAATCAGAACTCACCATCCTGTTACGTATCATTGGAGCAGCTCCCAGTGACCCAGTGGCAAGAGCTGGGAAGTTTAAAACGGGCTATCCGGCTGTGAGCATTGCTACTGGTATTTGAAAATGCCATCTTCTGGGTCACCATAGGTTGACAGCAGACAGTACCTCCAACCTGCATCTGAGTGACAGGGTTAGGGTTAGGTTCAGGAAAGGCAGTTGTTTTCCAGATGGATCATGACCTGTCTGCAGCTCTGACTCTGATGAGCTGAGCTGTGTGTGTGATGGCCACCTCAGGCCACGACTCCCACTGCCCTGCACTTTTGCCTTTCCCCTCTCCACAACTCAAAGGCTGAGTTTAGCCCAGGCTGAGCTGTCAGGCACATCAGCCTCGTAGAGTAGCACTTGGTACTGGCTCCCACTAGGGCAGTGAATGCAAGGTAGATCCTGGGATGGGCCCTGAGCAAGTGCAGCAGTGCCATTTCCACCCAGGAGGCCTCCAACTGTGTCTTACCAGAGGGAGCAGCCCTGCAAGTGGCTGTGGAAAGAGGTCCAGACACAAGTCAGCTGGTGGTCTCCCTACCTTCCCTGCAAGATGCCAGCGGTGGGCTGAGTGACTGGGTCATCGCACCCTCCGCTGAGCTGAGCTGTGCGCTGCTCCTGGGGGAGCTAGGTCTCCATGTTCCGTCGTGCCTTGGAAAGAGGACGTGTGTGTCTCATGGCAGTGATTTATTTTTTGAGGCAGGGTCTCACCATGTAGCCCTGGATGGCCTGGAACTCTTTATATAGATCAGGCTGCCCTTAAACTCTCTCCTGAGTGCTGAGGTTAAGAGTGAGCCACCATGCCTGGCCTTCATGGCAGCATTTAAAGTTTGACTTTGGTGTCAGTGTGAGAATGGTGAACTTTATGACATGGGTCTGAGCATGTTTGAATCTCGTGAGGAAGGAATGGGAAGGTGCACGGACTCCAGCCTTGTAACTGAAGAGAGCACGCTCTGCAGCTTGTCAAGGCATAGGCCAGGGCAAATGTTGGAGACGGAGGTAGCCCCTTAGTGCTCTGTTTATCCTCCTGTGACAAGGAACCAGGTGTATGCTGGGTATTTTCTAGGGCTTCATGGAGCCATAGCACAGCAGTGACAGGAGTGTCGTGGTGGCAGAGGGGCTGCATGCTTAGAGGGGCTGTGTGATTAGAGGGGCTGCGTGATTAGCAGTACACAGGATTACTTATCTCGGGCCCTGGCATCTTCAGACAGCTCTAGTGCAGCCTGGGCTCTGAGGGGAAATGAAGCAGGAGCTCAGGAGCTGACTGAGGCAAAGAACCTTAGCTCAGTAAGGACACTGGGACACAGAGTAGGGCTGAGCCCAGGACAGAGACCTTGTCTAAGGTATACAAGGCTCTGGTCCCATCTCTAGTACTAAGGAAGGAGGGAGGGAGAGAGGCGGGCAGGAACTGCTGAAGCACTGAAGAGTGAGAAGATGAATAGACAGACCCCCTTGGGCCTGCCACCTACCAGCATTGCCCTCCTGTAGTGAGCAGTGGGCTTCCAGTAGCTCTCAGACAGGTGAATGATGCAGCACCTGGAGCTATGGAGTGCCTTCTTGATGGCACCTCTCAAGTCCTCCAGAAATAACTTGTCCAAGAGACAAGCAGAGCCTGGCCTCAGAAGGTCTTTAGCTCTTTAAAGCACCAGCCACATTGGGTGTTTGTCTTCTGTAAAAGCAACTAGGTCTGGTCCTACCACAGAAGACACTCCAGCATGTGCAAAAACTGTCCTGTACCCTCTACCCTTCTTCCACACCCTCAGAGCAAGTCCACAGCTTTTCTGACAAACCCTGAGGATGGGCTAGCCCTTGGGTGTCCACACCCCAGGCCATTCCCTTATTTGTTCTCCTCTGCTTAGCCAACATCAGAGAATGTCTTCCATCCTTGTGTTGGCCCTGCTTGCCTCTGGAGCCTGTGTGGCTGTCATATAGCTTTCTGTTCAGCCTGGGGAGGAAGTAACAGGGGCTTGCTTTCCCTTCCTATTTCTTTTACGTCTCTCCTTGAGCCTACCAATTTTGGTTGCAAACTTAATTGTAAAACAAAAACAGTAAATTGAAAAGTATTGGGAGACATTTCAACAACCAACCAGCCTCGGTAGTATCTGCCATGCTGCACACTCTTACTATTTGATTGTTTCTGACCTGGGTGGTGGGGAGGGCAGAGAGGGCTTTAAGTCTCCCCAGGCTCCCATTCCACAGGGGAGACAGACTCAGATGCCCGGGATTGTCTTACTAAGACCTTTCTCACAGTGTAACCCTCCAAGTATGTATTAAGCAATGAAACATGTGCAGATGGGCAGCTTCAGCCAAGCTGAATGAAGACTGTATTTATCTATACTTTGGATTTGGGGAGACGTTGAGCTCTGTCAGGGAAGGGAGGCAGATATGAAGGCAGTGTGGGTCTCCAGCACCTTTCTGTCCTTGGTACACTGTTAGCTGGCCTTGTGGGCCATGCTGCTCAGACCTGCATAGGAGCTGTGGCTCCCAAGAGGTGTTACTTCCCACCTGTGACCTGGGAGGCTCCAGAGCCTGTCACTGGATCCACAGAGCTGCAACCCTTCTCTGTCCCACTGGTCAGCACTTAACCTGGGTTTTCTAGAGTTCCTTCCTTCCTGCACAGGGCTGTGGGAACAGGCTGGCGACTGTGGTATAGTCTGTCAGGCAGATGTTGTGTTTGAATGGAAACAGAACACATGGGGCAGTGTTTGTACCCTCTATGGCTAGGCCACCCTCCCTGTCCTCAGAGTGTAGGTGAGCATCGCATGGGCCCAGCCTTGGGTCTCAGTTGTCCGTCTTGGTACCACCGCCCTAGTCTGTGGGCTGCTCTCTGGTCTTGCCTTCTCTTTTGTACACGTTCTCAGGGTTGCAGGATCACCCTAGAGTGCTTGTGAAGTCTGGGCTCTATTGCTGCTCAGAGGGAAGCTGCAGCCACTAAGGGGTTGAGAACAGCACACCCCAGCAGTGCAGGTGGGCACAGAGCTCGGAAGCCTGAGAGAAAGATGACACTAAGCTGGCCAGCTAGGGGAGGAACAGGAAGAGGGTGGGTAGGGTAGTTGTGAAAATAGCTGATCCAGGTAGCAGCCGCATGGAGGAGAACCTAAGGGCTTCTTGGAATGGCTGGGGGGCAGCAGACTGTGAGGAGGTAGTGTTAACTGTCCATAGGAGGCTTAGTATTGAACACCAAGCCTGTTCAATGCCCTGGGAATGACTATGTCTGCCCCACTAGTTAGGTTTCTTTCCTGAATGTTCTGTAACCATGATGTTGACATGAGTGTGGCCTAAAGTCTCTGGCCACAGTGATGAAAGAGAAATCATGTTGACAGTGAGGACAGCTTGATCAGGCTCCTGGGGAACCTTCTTCTTACTCATGGTGGCTCTGAAAGGTCATGTGACTTGGCCAGCAGCACACAGCTGGTAGAGGAAGGCCAGGTTCCCACCTTGGTCTAGAGTCCCCTATTGTAGGATTCTGGGTCACCTGACACTTTGGCTTTTCTTTTTCAGAGTGACGACATCAGGCGTGATGGAGACTATGAAGAAGGTCAAGAAAGTGACCAATGGCGCTGTGGAGCCCCAGGGCAGCTGGGAAGGCACTGCATGACAGCACGGGCTGAGGACAGCTGTCAATGAAACTAGCTGATTCATAGCCCTGTCAGTGAGCAAGTGTGTTCCCGACAGAACAATGGCATCTCCCAACAGTGACACCCCGGCACTCAGCGCTCATGGCCGAGCCAAGTGCCATGGACACACTTTTGTACTCTTAGGGATCTGGGCTACAGGCAGCTAGGACCACCCTCAGTGAGGGTGGGAGGCTTAGAGGAGGAGTAAAGGACTGTCTACCTGATTTACCTTGCTAATTGGGAGCCTGGGTCTATGCATGGGAGCCCCCGGGGCTGCTACTCAGAAAGGCTGTGGGGGTGACGTAGGTCTGCCCTGGTCACAGTGCTTGGAGGCTGGGGAGGATGTCACTCACTGCTTGGCCTAGCATTTCTAAGGCTTCGGGTTCAATTCCTAGTACCAGGGTGGGGGAAAAGAAGTTACTTTGGGAACTAGTCAGCTAGCTACCAAGGATATAAAGAAGAGGAAGAGATTGTCGGCCTTTGGGAAGAAGAGCAACAGAAATGAGTGAGCCTCTTTTATATAACCACCCTAGGTAGCTTGAAACATCTGTCCAGGGCAACTGGTCCCAAGCACCACTCTAAATGTCCCTGCCCGGGATATGACCTATAAAAGTGGTGCTAGAGGCCGGCTGGGAGGACCCAGTACATGGCTGGCTGAAGGGGAGAAGAGCCTTGGAGCTCCAGAAGTGTTCTCCAGCTGGCTCTCCTGACTCCATCCCCCTGCCTGCCCAGAGCAGCCACCTGGCTTCCTCTCCTTCCACCTGTGTCTGCTGATCTGAATCCGAGAATAAAAGAATTTTCCTGAAGGAGCAGCTGAGGACAGAAAAGGTAGTGTCTAAACGAACACTTAGGTAAGCATCCTTCCACAGCTCGGAGGAGTCAGGCAGGACCTCTGATCCTCACCTGCGTAGTCCAGGCATGCGTGAAGGGAGTGTGTTTGAGCCACTCATACTCAGAGACCTGAGACAGGCAGATCTGCTCAGAGCTTGGGCAGGAATACCAGCAGCTGCCTGCAGAAGACATGTGACGAGGTCACAGGAGACCAGCTCGGCACCTCAGAGCTCCTTAGTGCCCAGAATTTGTAGGTGAGTCACACCTTCAAGGAACAGGCGCTTCCTGGGGTGAGTTACTCTACCTCCCAGTGCAGAAGACAAGATCTCTGGCCTGAAGACAGTGTCTGTCTCCACACACCTCCACCCCAAGTCCATGTCCTAAGCCACCTGTGAGAAGCTGCTGCTTCTGCTGTCCTAGCAGGTCCACCCCTACCACAGGAGTTCCATCTTGAGAAAGGTAGACAGGCCTGAAGGATCCAGTTAAGGGATCTTTTTTTCTTGTTTGTTTGTTTGTTTGTTTTGTTTATACTTGTTTATGGAGTATGTGGTGGGAAGGGAGTTGTTGAAGAGATGGGTGTTTGTTAATGCTTTGTCTTCTGCAGTCCTCCAGCACTGCAGAAGTGCTCCTGTGGTGCCGTCTAAGCCACAGCCTGCCCTCAAGGCTGGGCTTTATGGAAGGGGGCTTGTTTCTCCTGCTGTGAAGGAGAACAGAGGGGAGCTATGTACAGCCCAGCCCACAGAGCTCTCTGGGTGCACAGCTGAGCAGCTCTAGGGGGACAGCCTGCTCCCTCAGAGCATGGGTGCACAGGCAGGGGCTGTGCTATAGCAGCGTCCCTTCCAAGTCCTGCCCTGTGACTGCTGCGGGTGGGAAGCCAGGCATGGCAGGGGAATCAGACGCTTAACATGGGGCTGGGAAGACTGGCCTGGTGCCCAGGCTGTGGAAAGGAAAGCTTCAGCCCTTCATCCTGCACTGTAGTGTACCTCCTCTCCGTCACTTGAGAGCTGTGAGCCAGCATCCCGCAGTGTCCTTGGGTAGAGGAGTCTGATTGGAGTCCAGCCACCCCAGCTCATGAGCTGCCCTCTGCAGCCTGGCGTCTTAGCCCACCCGGCTCCATACAACTGTGTTTGAATGGTGAAGCCCTTGTGTTGGAGGCTGAGCAAAGATGGGGTGTGCATTGCACTGCCACTGTGGTATTAATAGCTCTGCTCTGTGCCCCCACCCGCTTCTGCTTGTGTGAGGTATCTATACCTTTTTTGAGAGTGCTGTGGACTAGAAGCTGTGGGCTGTGACATTTAATAAAGTGTAGATTTTGCTAGATAATTATTTCTTGGACAACAGGAACAAGTGTTCAGCTCTGAGTTCTGGCTCTTAACAGGACTCAGCCTCTCGTGTTTAAATAGCAGAGCATAGTCTACTGCTGAGCCTGACTGGGGTTCCTTCTCTCTAGGGGAACAGCTCACTCCAGGGTCAACAACCCTGCCTCACATCAGGCCTGAGTCTTCAGTTTTCCTTCAGAAACCACTTCGGAGTAAAATACCTAAGTGTCCCCACTCTCCAGCCCCAGTCTGCGCAGCCAGCCAGGGCTGCCCAGCTCCTGAAGTGCTTGCAGGATTTCTGCTCCTCTCGGTCCTTCAGTCCTCCCTCCTCTCACTCCTTCCTTTCCTCTCCCCCCTCCTTTCTCCCTCGCTCCCCACACTCCCTCCTGCTTTGCCACTGACTCCCTTGGCCCTCTCTGGCATACTCAGCTGCAGGCTGGTGCACTGCAGCATTGTCTGCCTGCAGCTGCGTGCAGAATGTATTTTCTAAACCAGGGAGCATTTTATCAAGAGAGTGCAAACTATGCAAACTAAAGCTGTGTGTTGCTGCTTTGCACCATGTGGTGATCTCCGCACACAGCAATGCTTGTCTGGCCCTTGGAATGGAATCTAAAGCCAGTTTTTGCAGAAGGGGAAGCCTATCAACGATCCCTGTGTCCCATTTTTGTGGCTTCTGGCCACCTCCCGCATCCCAAAGCATGTTCCTCGAGGAAGCATTAGTCTGATGAGGTTGCTGGCCCAGTTCCACACGCCCAGGAGGACAACCTCGTTCTGCCAAACTACTGATCCTCGAAGAAAGATCCTAGCCCACCAGCTAGCCTTGCTTCCATCACCCCCGAGTTCACATGCTGACCTGCCCAGGCCTCAGCACGTCACCATGTGCTCCTCAGGGGCCTGCCCTGGCCACTGCTGCTGCCTTTGCTCTCTAGAGTTCCATGAGGACTTTATTTGCTCTCTCGGCTATTTAGAGCAGGCCAGTGTTCTCAATGCCTTTTACTCCTTTCCTGAGGCTGCCCTGGCAAGATTGTAAAAAAACATTCACAGGAGTCTTACTCATATCTGTATCACCTAGAATGTGCTCACGTGTCACAGGCCAAGGAGTCTCCCAGTTCCTCTGGGTCTGTCCTGTAGAGGTGTGTCTGTTTCATGCTTAAAAAGCATTATACATTTGGGTGACCCTCTCTGCCTGGCCAGGGACCACCTGCCTGCTTAAGAGGCTGCACTGAGGGACAGAACAAGCTTGGGAGCAGATGTGGTCATGACTGGCATGTCAGGACCTGGTGTGCTTTTGACCACAGGGAGACTTCATACTGGCCAGTGGGGAAGGCACACAGGTTCCTGGTGTGCCCATAAAGGGCAGAGTGAGACAGACTCACCTCTGAGACAGGATGCTCCTTTGGAGTTGACGTGCAGTAGATGGAGAGCTGCAGGACCAGCCTTCTTAGCATCCAGGCACTGTTTCCTTCTGTCCACATAGAGGAACTCTTCATTCCCTAATCAGCCTTTCTAGGACCCAAATAATTGTCAGACTAAACCCAGAGGTTTCACCTGAAGGAGGTCTTCTGGGCCTGTATGCCTTACTCGGGTTGGGGTGCAGGGGTTGGGGACCCCTTAGTAATTCTTAGCATTAATCATTGAAGTATTTGCAAGCATGGGATGTGGATGTGCTCAGGGTTGGTGGGCTGGCCGCTGTATGGAGGCATTTCACTACAAAGCAAATGTGCCCAATAAAGAGTCCATGTGGAAACCTGTGTCCGGTCCTAGGGAAGGAAGCCCAGGCACTGCCTGTCTGTCTCCTCAAAATGCAGTGGTTCTCACCCTTCCTAACACTGTGACCCTTTCGTACAGTTCCTCATGTTGTGGTGACCCCATACCAGAGAATTACTTTTGTTGCTACTTCATAACTGTAGTTTTGATACTGTTATGGGCTGTAATGTCAATATCTGATATACAGATGGTCTTAGGCAATCTCTGTAAAAGGGTCATTTGATCCCCAAAGGGGTTGTGACCCACAGGTTGAGAACTGTGGTAATTCCTTGTTATCTGTGCTAATTAAATCAGCTGGCTGCCTGCCACCCGCTCTCACTGACAGTAGCCCCACCTGGCAAAGCCTTACCTACCAGGCCTGTGGTACCAGTGCAGACTGCTGATGTACAGCCATAGGAGATGCAGGTCAGGATCCAGTTCTGCTGCTACCTCTGGATGTGACAGCAGGAATCCTCACTGAAACAGACTTCCTGGTTATCCAATAGGGTTATCATCCTTGTGGGATCAGACATTTAGGTCAGCATGTCTCTGACCCCTTCACTAGGAATGTTTTAGGTTGACAGCACTTTGGTACAGGAAAAGTTCATCTTTGAATACAGCTCTGGGCTGGAGAAGTGGCTCTGTGGAGAAGTACCAGCCACACAAGCATGGCACATTGAGTTTGGATCCTCAGCACCCACTAAAAGCCAGCTGTGGTGGTGCCTGGCTGTAAGCCTCACACGTGGGGAGCAGGAGGATCCCCAAAGCTTGTTGACAAGCCATTCTAGCTGTCAGCGTGCCTTGGGTCCTGTGAGAGACCCTATCTCAGAACTAGATGTGAGAGTGTGGTGCTGAGGCCCCACCCCAGGTAGAACGTTCATAGCCCATTCCCGCTATGCTGCCTTTTGGAGCTGACCATCCCCACACTGCCTGACTACAGACTCCTTCCCTGGTCAGAGACGGATGCTCCAGGGGCAGTGGCCATTCAGGGAGCCTGCTGGTTGTGTGACTTGTCCATCCAAAGCCTGGTCTTTGCAGACCATGGAACCTGAAGAAAGCTATGTCATACTGCCCCCCATGCCACCCAGTCAGCAGCCAAGCCCGTGGAGGAAGCAAGTGGAGTCCAGCCCAGCACGAGTGGGAACTCTGGCTTCTACTGCGCAGCTGTAGTAATGTTAAACATGCCTTGTGCTCTACAAAGCCTTAGAGTATGTATCTGTTGGCTAACAATGTCATGTTTGCTCCATGGTGCCTCCACTATAACCCTTGTCAGTGACTTCGGGTTTGTAAAGGTGTCTAGAGTGAAGGATGGGACAGAGTCTATAAGATTCCAGGAGAGAGTGCTGAGGCAGGGGCAACAAAGAATGACAGAGAAGTGACCCTGGGGTTAGGAAACCTAGCCATTCTAATTTCCAGGAGTACCAAGGGCCCCATAGGGTCCAGAGTTTGTGGTTGGCTCTGGAGGTCATACCTCCTACCAGTGCCCAGCGGGGTCGATAGGACTGTCTTTGGTGATGCTTTGACAACAGCTCCAATGAGGACTTTTAATCCGAGGGTAGTGTCTAGCTGGGACTTGAACCAGTGTATCTGCAGGTCTGTGACTGATTAAGTGCATACAATGGCCAGGGCAGAGGTGGAGGAAAAAAGCCAGCTTAAATGGAGCCCTTGGCTGTTTCCCATTGCTTCCCTGGAGCCACCCAGGGCATCTCAGCTAGGAATGCTGCTAGCTATTGGGCTGTCTGGAAACTCTGACCCCCCACAGACCCAGTTTGGCACTAGGAAAACAGGAGCCTGCTCTCTGACCACAGGTTCACATTCTGAGGCCAAGAGACCTACATATGGACCTACTGCTCCTACATATGAAAGGAACACTAGAACCCCATTTACTAAGTTTGGTACATACTAAGCTCTAGCACTGGCCTTAGCCTTCACATTTAAGAGGATAGATGGCTCAGTGGTTAGGAGCACTGGCTGCTCTTAAAATGCCCTGGGTTTAAAATGCCCTGGTACATATGTGGTGGTTCGCACCCATCCATCCATCACGTAAACTCCAGGGACTCTGATGCCGTCTCTAACTTTGAGCACCAAGCACTCATGTGGTACATAAACATACGTGTGATCAGATCATTCATAATCTTTATGTTTTTAAGTTCACAGTGAGTGTTACTGGTGCTTGAACCCAGAAAGGGACATTCAGCAGTCCCAAAAAGAAAATCCAAAGGTCACTGTGGAGACCCATCCCAGTGGCCAGTGCACTTGTCCATGGTGCATCGCTTCTTCCCTGTGTACACAAACCTGTCACATGTGACTCATGCTTGGCTGGTCCAGGGCAGCCACCCTTGATGGGAGGTGTAACTGTCCTGTCCGCAAGATGGTCTGATACAAAATGTTCTGAAGTCAAAGAGTTGACTGGCCTGAGGAATGCGAGGGCTGGGCCCTCCTGCTCCTACTTGTCTCCGTGTTGAAGGATGCACTTGTGGTACCATGGTCCATGGAGCTGTCTGGCTCAGATGTGCCCTGCTGAGCCCTGTGCCCTCCACTGCTTCCTCCATGGCACAGCTATCTGTGGCCGCCTTCATCAGGAATCTGTCAGGTGGACAGATAAACTGTTGTGTGCTCCTCTGGCTTCCAAGCAAGGGGCTGGGGGAGTGGATCCTGTAAGGGGGCCATGCTGTGTGTCACCAAAGTAACCCCCATGACATTACAGGCCCCTTGGCCTTTGAGAACTTAGCTCTGGCCCCTGGTACTGGCCTGTCTACCCCAAGAGGAATTTTCTCAGCATTTGAGAAAGTAGAAGTGACCCACTTAGGAACTGCAGGGCATGGCTGACCTGCATATAAGTGAAGAATCTGCTCCCTTACACGGGTGTGGAGGCACAAGCTCACAACACGCCTTGTCAGCCCTTCTAGACACGTGCTGCTGAGGGACTGCATCAGTGGGCTCGAGCCTGTGAGGTCTGAAAATCACCTTCTGTGCTAACATCTGCCAGGCCAAGACTGAGCAGTTACATCTGGTTACATCTGGCTTGCAGACAGTGCTGGAATATGGAAGACACAAAGAGCAAGCCACTGGGAACTGTGGTGTATGCGGCAGGCGCATCTTTATCGCTTTCACCCAAACAGCAACAGCCCCTATTGATACGATGCTCTAGCCTGACTAGCTTGGCACAATAAGACATTCTCCTGTCTCTAGACTTTTGCCACCTGCAAGTCAGACTTCTGTCTGAGTCACCTTGCTACTCAGGTTTCCTGTGTCCTTCCTTGTGTTGGGTACTGGGGCTCTGCATCAACTCGAGGCAGGCTCCCCATCCTCCTCAGGCTCCCTGATAACCCAGATTTTGTTTCAGCCTATACCTGGTCTGAGCTCTTCCTGTGATCTATTCATCTACCTCCTGGCACTGCCTTAAAAAGAACATCAAAGCCACTCATCCAGGTACTACACCCCTCCCTGGTCAGTGTGACCCTAAGTGGAAAGCCTGGGCTCTTCGTGATGCTCTGTCCCGGCCCTGTGGATCAAGCTGCCTCGCTTCTCTTCCCACTGATGCTCTCTCCCATACAGCATTAGACGCCCCTCCAGCAGGCACCTGCCTCGAGGCTTGCTCTGTTGTGGATGAGTCACAATGACTCCAGAAGCTCCTGCCTGCTGGGTTAAGCACACAGATGTGGATGTGATTGTACAAAGTACCAGACCAATACACAAAAATTAATTGTGGAGCCAGCAGATAGACACCTGCCGCAGAGCCTGGTGACCCAAGTTCAGTCATCCAGGGTCAAGGTGGAAGGTGACTTAGTGGTAAAGACGTTTGCTGCTCTTCCAAGGGACCCAAGTTTGGTTCCAAGCTGAGTGGCTCACAAGCACCTATAACTCCACCTCTAGGAAATCTTCTGCTATATGAGGGAGGGCACCACACTGCACTCACACTGAAAAAGAAATCCTAAGGGCCAGCCAGCAGTGGCTGGAAGAAAGACACCCAGGCATTGGCTGCAGCCGTCAGTACGTGAATGAATGTGATAGAGAGGTAGGAATGATGGCGTATGTGACAGAGAGATGGAAGAAAAGGCAAAGCCAAGGGGTTTGTACACTGGAGAAAAGTGAGACTGGACACTCAACAGCAGCGAGGAAGAGGAAGATAGGAGGAGGCCACAGTGGGGACCTGTCCCTGGCTGCCACCAAGGGCCATGTCTGGGTCTATGGTCCTGCTGCAGCTGGGGTCTGTATCAATGTCTGTGGCCCAAGTTACCACCAAAGGCCAAGTAGATGTCTGGACTGGGCTGCCACAGAGACCGTATGGATATTTGAGGAACATTCTACCAAGGGGGGACATGCTGATTCAAGTGGCCTGTGCTGCCCCTTGAGGCTATAGGGACATCTGGGCTCAGACTGCTGCCGAGAGCTATGGGTCTGTGACTGTGGTCCTATGGTAGCTGGGGTCTGTGTAGATGTTCCAGGCCCATGATAACATCAAAGGTCATGGAGATCTCCCTCTTCTGGACTGCCCCCCTAAGGCACTGTGCAGAGCTGGCTCTACCTCTCACTGGCACCACACTTTGGGAGAGCTGGCCCCACCACTCACCTGGGCAGCACAGTAGAGCTGACCCAAACTGTCCCCAAGGACATGAGAGCAGGAAAGCTGACCGTGACCCTTGCTGGCTGCGGCACTGGGTGAGCTAACTGGGGCAGTGCTGGGGAACTCACCCTGGTAGGGGAGGCACAGAACTGCACAGGTTGCTGAGCAACTCAGCTGGCTCTCAGGCCCAGATTCGGGGCTTTGAGTTGGCCCACCCCAACATCTACCCCATCTTTGATCATCTGCTGGGGTGCAGGAAAGGGCCAGTCCTGTAGATCCAAATATCTCCGTGACACAGGGCAACAACTGGAGGTAAGAGAGGAGTCCCATGAGGGTCCAGTATAGATAATGTAGCAGAAGCCAGAGGCCTCAAACCAGACCAATGCAGTGAATGAACATTGCAAGTAAAGATGAGTGCACAAAAGGGCATACTC